CGGGGACCTCCCGGAACCCCTGGACACACCTAAGGCCAGGGGGCCAGGGGCAATTTTTGGATGGGTGCAGGGAGGAGGAGGGGGAGGAGGAGGAGGAGGAGGAGGAGGAGAAGGAGGAGGAGGAGGAGGAGGACGACGACGTCGACGACGTCGACGACGACGACGATGACGGCGGATGCTGCGGCGGCAGCGGCGGCGACGACGACGACGAGCCCCGGCACCATCAGAAAACGGCCGATGCAAAAACGGTCCCCGGGAAGGGGTCGAAAGCTTAGGGGCCTAAGCTCCGACACTTCTCTCAGAGATTCTGGGGGCTTCCCACTGGGCTTTCCCACATGTTGTGAGGCCTCTCCCTCAGGTCTTATGCCACCACGGCGTCGTAATACCTAGACGCCAGGCCTGGGCAGGGGGATTGATAAGGCGATGTGCCATCCGTGCTGGAGATGTTGAAGTGTTTCGGAAGAGGTGTTCGCAAAACGTCTTCGGGCGGGGTATCAGGGAGGGGGAATATCGGACACCCTCTTAAAAAAACGCACGAGGGGGGAACTATCATGATGGGTACAAAGGGCAGATAGAAACATCGAGCATTCGGATAACATGCTTGTTGTTGAGCTGTCACGACAGAAGAATAACTATTGTTAATCCCCCCTCCAGTGACCATGGCGCTTTTCAACTGAAGTGTTTCCCCTGGGGCTCGCACCCTGTTTTTAAGTAGGGAAAAAACACTCGGCTCAAATTGCGTTGTTCGCCCCCAGATTGCAACAACAACTGTTCCCATCTGAGACTTCCTCACAATTTAGCCAGGACCCCGCTCCCGCCTGAGACTTCCTCGCATTTTACTCAAGAATTGCGCCCTGGCTTGGGACGTCCGTATAACTAATTCAAGAATCGCTCTCTCGGTGCTCTGGAGTCGCGCTCTCGCTGGGGACTTCCTTGCAACGTACTGAATCGCGCTCTTGCGTTGAAATTCCTCGCGATTTACGCAAACACCACGCTCCCGACACTCAGGCCCCCAGGAGTCGCGCTCACGCTGAGGACTCCCTCGCAGCTTACGTAGGAATCGGGATATCGCTGCCCTTCGTGGCCCCGTTGCAGCCCTTCGTGGCCCCCTCGCTGCCCTTCGTGGCCCCGTTGCAACCCTTCGTGGCCCCCTCGATGACCTTCGTGGCCCCGTTGCAACCCTTCGTGGCCCCTCTAGCTGACCTCCCTGGGTCCGTTGCAGACCTTCGTGGCCCTCTCGCTGCCCTTCGTGGCCCCGTTGCAACCCTTCGTGGCCCCTCGCTGCCCTTCGTGGCCCCGTTGCAGCCCTTCGCGGCCCCCTCGCTGCCCTTCGTGGCCCCGTTGCAACCTTTCGTGGCGCTCTCGCTGCCCTTCGTGGCCCCGTTGCATCCCTTCGCGGCCCCTTCGCTGCCCTTCGTGGCCCCGTTGCAACCCTTCGTGACCCCTCTAGCTGCCCTTCGTGGCCCTGTTGCAGCTTTTCGTGGCCCCCTCGCTGCCCTTCGTGGTCCCATAGATGCATGCCATTCGTGGCCCCCGCTCGTTCGCGCCCGTCGTGGCCCCATATGCATGCGCTTCGTGGCCCCGCTGTCACCCTTCCTGGCCCTCCTGCTGCCCTTCGTGGCAACGTTGCTGCCCTCAGTGGCCTCGTCCTTGCCCTCCGCGGCCCCGAATTATCTGCCTTTCGTGGCCCCCGCTCGTTCGCGCCTCTCGTGGCCCCAGACGCATGCTTTCGTGGCCCCGCTGTCGCCCTTCGTGGCCCCGCTGTCGCCCTTCGTGGCCCCGCTGTCGCTCTCGCTCTCGCTCTCGTTCTCGCTTTCACTCGTCGTCGTCGTTTTCTTCTTCGTGGTCGGTTCCCTGTCCGCCCTTCTTGGGGTCGGGTTTCCGCCGATCAGAGCTGCCGCTGGCCAGGTCGACGGTCCACGGCCGCCACGCCGCTTGCTGGTGCCCGGCCTGCAGGGAAGAAACATTTACCAGCCAAAGAGGGTACGATCGAAGACGAAGAAGGCGGGCATCGAGGGTTTAGGAAATACGCGTTGGATTACACTCGAGCAGGCAAGATCGAAAATTCTAAAAATGACTGTTGTTGATGGTGTTGTTGTTGTGCTTGTTGTCTGTTGTTGGTTGTTGTTTGTTGTCGTCGCCCCCTCCCGCGACCCGGCCATCGACCCACCCGCGACCCACCCGCGACCCACCCAAGACCCACACGCGACCCACCCACGACCGGGCCCGCGACCCACCCACGACCCACCAGCGACCCACCCCGCAACCCGCCCGCGACCCACCCGCGACCCACCAACGACCCACCCGCGACCCACCCACGGCCCGGCCCGCGACCCGCCCGCGACCCACCCGCGACCCACCCAGCGACCCACCCGCGACCCAGCCGCGACCCACCCGTGACCCACCCCCGACCCACCGCGACTCACCCGCGACCCCCCCCCGCGACCCACCAGCATTGCTTCACTGAAAAATCGGCGCCTGCGGCGGGCCCTTTGTATAAGTTGTGCAAATGTGGTGCCTGCGGCGGGCTTCTCCAGAGCCTCGCAGACTGCCGACGTCCCCGCCGCCCTCTCAATCTTATCCGCAACTGCGGGGTTCTACGTAATTTCTGAGGTCCGCGCGGGTTTCTTGGATCTGCGCTTGACACGCCTCCTTGGCGCGCGGAGTGCGCCAGGCGCAGCGCCAGAGTCGCCGCCAAGGGCCAGCGCCGATCCAAGAAATCCGTGCGGACCTCCTGGATATCATGGTTGTGCCATGTTCTCCTCTTCGAGGACAGACTGGGAAAGGGCCGAGATGGGACAAAAAAACATGTCGTCGGAGATCTGGGGATAACGCTCTGCATGGGGACGGGTCTCGAGCGTGAAGCGTATGCGCCAGGGGCCTGCGGCGCGGGGCGCTTGGCGCAGGGCGCTGGGGCCGAGGGGCAGGAGAGCCCCAAACCGAATCGATAAGTCGGATCGGCGACCGAAATGATTCGGCTCGGCGGAGATCGGCAGCCGAGTCGGGAGAAGTCGAATCGGCGGAAATCGGCAAGCTAGGAGGCTTCCGTTGAGAATTCGGAATCCAGATCGGAATCCGAAGTCGAATCGAATCGGATCGGAAGCCATCGAAGTCGAATCGAACCGAAGGAATCGAATCGAGCCCTGGCGGGGCGAGGGCCGGCGTGGACAGGCGCAGGCGCAGGGCCTGCGATCTGGGAGTTGCACTTGTTGTCGAGTCCTGGGGCACCTTGCGAAGTTCAGAGCCGACGAAGGATGTGCCCCGAGATGCCTTATAGCAAGAATTCTTATCGCATGTGCCTGCTGTGAAGGCTCGACTCGGAACCCGATCTTCTCCATCTTCACGTCGCCGTATCCTGAGATCCGGGCGTTGCATTTTTTCTCGTCATCCTGTGGTGTAGGGTCCTCGTTTTGAAGAGACAGCGCCCCGCGTTCCTCCTCTCCTCCTCCCCTCCCCCTCAGGCGCTATTTTTTTTGTTCGAAGGATCGATTGGACATCAATTCGCGCTTCAAGAAGTCGATGGACAACAGAAGTGCCGCAGTCATCAGGAACGCTGCAGCAACAACGCCAGCAACAGGCGCGAGGATAAATATTTGAAAGAACAACGTTCGTCTCCCAACCAAAATGCGGCCCGGCAATGGAAAATATTACGATGCGATTCCCTGCCCTCTTGGCCGGGAACCTGATCGGGCAAGAACGGCCAGCGCCGATTTTGTCAATTTGGTCGCGTGGGAGGAAAAGAAGAGAAGGACGAACGACGACAAGGCGGCGGATGACGAGGAAGGCAGCGTGGAAGAAGGGACTTATCCTCGTGACCTTTCGAGAAGCCGTCTCCAAGATACGTCCGAAGAGGCCTCAAGAGGGATGCGCGCAGGCATCCAAGAGGCCTCGGACCTACGACCTAGGACCTAGGCACGGCTGCGGGATACGCCGAAGGCCACAAGACAAGGCTGGCGCAGTTTGCACAGGCTGGCCTGTCTGGAACCAACGTGTGGCACAACTGTCTTACTGGATCGATGATTAAACTGGCATCCTACTTCCTGTGTGCAGGAAAGGAAGCAGGCGTGGCAGAGTCAAAGAGCATGTGATCTCCTCCCCCCTTCCTCACAAAATCCACCACCGCCGTCCAAAGCCAGCACCTCCAACGTCTCGAATCAAGGATACTCAAAACTATCGAACAATATGTGCCGTCGATGTCGCTGCATGGCTGCTCAGTATCGCGTGCACGCGTGAGGTAAAACTTCGCGTGGCATCCTACTGCTTATGTGCAGGCAGGCAGGCGTGGCAGGGTCAAAAAGCATGTGATTTCCCCCCCCCTTTCTCATACAATCCCCCTCCAACGTCCACAAACTCCTCCTCCAACATCCCGAATCAAGAATAATGAACACCACCGGAAAATGTGTCGTCGATGTCGCTGCATGGCTGCTCAATATCGAATGCACTCGCGAGGTTAACTTCGCGTGGCATATGGATGCAAAGCACTGCCTCGCAAAACGACCTACGAATGAGAAAGCCAGTCATGAGTCTGTCTCAACGGCATCCCTCCGTAAAGCATAGTGCTGGAAGAAGCCAGTCTTACGTCTATGACAATGACATCCCCCAACAGCATCCACGCACGCAATATCGAGACAAACACTGCTAGCGTGCACGCGCGAAGTGAAATGTTTCGACTAGCTTCAACCTCCCCCACCACCCCAGCGCCGCCCCCCTCCTCACGAACACGTCCAGAATCTCGAGCGTCGGCTGGAGGCCTGGGAAAATCTGCCGAAGAGGCCGTGGCGCGGGCGATGTCGCCCGGCGCTCCAGGCGGAGCGCGCTGTCACGCAGGGGCCCTGGCGGAGTAGAGGCCCATGCTGTATCGCCTGCGCCCAACGGCGGCGGCGGCGGTCCTGAGCGCACAAAACCCAGGTGGCGCGAACCTGTAAGCCCGGTGCTGTCGGGCCTAGGCCAGTGTGAGCCCGATGCAATCATCCTTCCCCCCCGTCCTCACCTCCTCCACTTCCAGCCTTTCCGTGCCAGTTCGGCACCCGTTCTCGTCGCTGGGCTCCCCTGGATGGCAAAAGGGCAAGTGCATCGACCACAAATTACACATCCCATGCTTCGCCAACCCCGGCCCAGGCCCACTCTCCCGCCCAGGGGCGCGGCGGTCGGGGGCGACGACGGGGGCGAATAGCCTAAGGGAGAGCAACACGTGTACAGTGGGGCCCAAGCCAGAATAGCACCCCTCAAGAACATGAGACCCTCCGTCGGCCAAAACACACAGGCGCATCCAGCTTATATCTCATACCTCGGTCCAACCGTAGGTTGATGAATCACATCAAGGGCTGAGCGCTGAACAGGCGTGCCGAACGCCATGTCAGCTGCAGAGTCTGTAAATCCAACGGGTCCTGTAAGTCCGTCGTTGCAAGCGGATCTCCTCCTCTGATCACGCCATGCAGCAATGCCACAGGAGATGCATTGAAGAAGGGGCATCGGAGGAGGATTGCAAGCATATGGTCAGGAACACCATGGCGTGCCAGCCTATCAGCGATGCAGTCAGCAATTCGCAAAGAGAACGATTACAAGTAGGTTCAGACCTGTAGAACTCAGAAGCGTGTCTAGTCTGGGTAGGCGCCTCTCACAATGCGCACCGATGCGGCGACTCGCAGCCACAAGTGGCCTGCCGCAACCCAACTCGGCCAGTGTGCTGGCCGCGGGTTGCTGTGAGGCCGCACTCTGACTGCGACCGTGCCGCACGTCCACCGACTGATGGTCACACCACACTGCATGAACCTTCTCCTCCCCCGTGCCCTCCCAGGTCCCAAGTGCGGGCGAGCAGGGGCACCCACGCCGCGCGCAGGGCCTCAGCCCTCGGTGCACGTGGAAGGGAAGCCCTTCTTGGGGGACGAGGCCTTGGGGCGCTGCGCGAGGGGCGGAGACAGGATCTGACCGAAGAACCACGCGGGCGGGAAGCGGGCCTCGAAGAACATGCCCCCCTGCTCTTTCGCGGCGCCCTCCAGGCCCCACTCGGCGATGTGGGCGGGCGGCAGCGTCGCTTCGAGGACCGGCAGGATGTCGAAGCGGTGCCGCCGGACCTCCTGCAGGGCGGCCTGCAGCTCTACCCTGGCAGCCTTCTGGAGGTCGCGGAGGGCAGAGGACGTCTCCACGCCCTCGTCCGACACGGGCTTGCCGGTCACGGCCGCCACGTGCCCAGGGTTGTCCTTGATGTTTTTGGCGTAGATGGGTACGGACGCGAACGCGGCCCCTGTCTGCTTCCCGAGGGACATCGCGTGGATGACCCAGTCGAGGCTGATCTTCACGCCGTGGAACACCGCGGACCACTCGCTCGAGAGCATCATGCTGCTCTCGGTTGCGTGGTGGTCTACGAGGCGGTGGCCCTTCCTGCACGACTCCTCCCCGTCGAAGCAGTACACGCTGAAGGGCAGCAGGTCGTCCGCCAGCAGCTTCACGCCCGCCTCCCGCATGCGCCGCAGCACGGGCAGCAGCGTCCTCGTCAGGCACTGCGAGAGCGAGCCCTGCTCGCCGAAGAGCCTCTTGAACTGCAGGTCCTGGGTGTACTCCGTCAGCTCGAAGACGATCCGCCCCGGCGCGCGGCGGGTGGCGTCGAGCACCAGGCTCTGGACCCCCGGCAGGAGCCACTCGGACGGACGCACGTTCACGCTGATCGGCGGCAGGCTCGGGAAGGTCTCCAGGGCGTCCAGGGCCGCCTGGATCTCCAGCCCCTTGAACTGCAGGTAGAGGTCGATGTCGGTGTCGAGCAGGTCGTCGAGCACGTCCACCACGATGCCGACGCCCCAGGAGGCCGTGTGCAGCGCCAGGAGGCTCTCCAAGCCAACGAGACGCGACTGCCCCTTGTCCTCGCGCACCTCCCACATCGGCTGCAGGCCAAACGAGAAGAGCCTCCCCGACTCGTCTGTTGCGTAGGCCACCTCGGCGGGGGATCTCCCGTCGCCGATGTCCTCGAGCATGCCGCGAAGAGCAGCGACAAACAGCTGTCGCTTCTCCTGCAGCGGCATCTTGAACAAGGGCTGCGCTAGCTGCATGGGCTGGTAGACGCTCCTGGTTAGCACATCCGGGCACGTGTTGGTCACCGCCTCGAAGAGCTGCCTCTGGTTCAGCAACGCCATCGTCTGATCGCGCTCTCTTCTCGCGGGCGCCATCTCTTCGGCCCACGCGGGGCCGCAGTCAAGGCCTGAACAGAAAAGGAACTTGAACTTGAGCCAACATGGCTACGGATCCCCCCCCTCAGGCGCTATTGTGGGCCCAAACGGGGCCGCGTTCTTGATTCTGGCGTTCCCTGGGGTGGCTGCTTGGCTGTGCTTCCCACTTCTGCATCCGAAGCAGACGGGCACAGGCAGGACAGCGCGAGTGAGGCTGTCCGCCACCTCCCCCCCTCCTCCCACAACTCCTCATCTTCGGGCATTTGGATACACATGCTCTTGGCGGCGCGCCGAGGGAGGATCCGAGAGTGGGCAGGCCTTCTCAGACGGCGGCGGGGCTTCTCAGAGGCCCCCTGACCTTCTGGAGAGCCCTGCGGCGCTGGGGAGAGGCCTTCCCAATCTTCTGAGAAGGCCCACACCCTTCACTTCCCACCTATAGGCGCGCCGCCCATCCTCAGGTCGTGTCCGTCCCCACCCCCTCCTCCAGCAACTACTCATATGGTGGCCTCTGGGTACACATTCTCCCGTGGGCTCGCTCCACCACGGCCAGTGGTACCGTCACCATGGACTGACTCTACCACAGCCACTGGCAGCAGGTTCCGGCCATCCTATTCACTTTCAGGATGTGGTCAGTTGTCGTCCAACTAGCGGATTTCCGACAAGCTGCCCCGCAGTCTCCAGCACTGCGCCGATGACCGCCTCGTTCCGAAAGATTAGTTCAGGTACCATTTAAGGCAGAGCTTGGTAACCCTCCAACAACTCCTCTTGCTGATGCCTGTGAGGATGTCCGCCCCCTCCAGCATCTCCCAGCTACTCTTGCTGCTGCCGCTCCCCCCTGCTCCTCTGCCATCGTCGGCGCTACGGCCTCCTCCTTCTCTTACTGCCTCTAGCCTGCCCTGGCTGCCTCCTGTCGTTCTCTCGAGATGTAAACGACGGCTCAGACAGTCGGGGGTCGACGGAGCCCCTTTCAGCAAAACTTCCTCACGAGAAAACTGCCAAGGGCACTCAACGTGCGCACGGCACCGCATGCCGAATGTGCCCGCCAGAATACTAATCAACGTCCAACACATAACCGAACATATCCGGCGAACGCACATCGGGGACTGCACTGGTACACGTGTCGAGTGAACTCGTGCAGATTTCCTGTCGACTCGTCTGGGTGGGCCTTCTCTCAGCGGCCGAAACAATTAACAGCTTAGTCGCGAAAAGCAATGGTAGCTTGATCGAACCATGACGAATGAGCTCGACGACCAACCGTGAACGATCAACACGCAACACTTGGCCTTGTCAAACGGAACGCGCCAAAGGGGGAGGCCAGTCCCAGAATTGGCGGCGCGCTTACACTGCACGTGCAAGCGATGTAGACTAGACTTGTCTGCCTATGCTGAACTAATGGGCCCCATGCAAGAGTTTTTGCCCGAGGCAGCTCCCAACAAGTCTGGGCGCGCGAAAGGACGGGGCCAAGAATGTGGAGGTTGGCGCGGCACGAAGCATGTGTGCGGGCGAGCGGATGCATTTGTACCTCGAATTTCCGAGCTCACGATCGTGAGTGCTTCAGGGGGCGCGACCTGTGCTCGGGGCGCGTCCATGCCTCCACGGAGCAGTCACTGCAGTCCTTCACACACACCACGCCCGCAAACAATTCCCTCTCCAGAGCCCCACTGCACAGTCAGCGGGCATCTACGATCCAGCGACCTGCCTGCTTCTCCGCCAAGCCATCATTGATAGAACTAGATGGAGCATGAAACATGGACCTGGCCTTGATATCCCCCCCCCCCCTGATCCTCGCTCTCTCCCTCCTGCCTCCAGCTCATCCGCCACCTCCTCGTCGTCGTCCTCCTCATCCAATTTACACAGCTATCCTTTCCTGATTGCGCCTGACACGATGGGGTCCTTTGTGGGGTTCCAGGTCTACTATGACACGGGTCGGCGGATATAGAACTACATTCAGCAAACTGGGAGCGGATGGGTGAGAGGGGTAGGATGGCAGCTATTGCGCGAGCACGCCGAGCTTGCTCTCACCCCCTCATAATCGGTACCCAGACCCCTCTCGGGCCGCGTGCAGCCGTGGCGACGGGGCCCTTTCTCGCCCCTTTGGCTAGAAAGAGTCCCCACCCGATTCCAATCATCAGTCGCCTCTCCCGCCACTCCGAAGCGAGGGCTCCGCACACGCCTGGTTGCTCACGCACTCGGTTGGGATCCCGCTGATCACGCCGTCTGCGCTCGACAGCGAGAGGCCTACCGCCGCTGCCGCGCGGGAAGGCACAACCCGTCCTGCCCACTTCCTGGGCGCCAGGCGCGAGAAGGAATGGATCATCGGGCGTTCGATGCGCAACGGTGGAGCGATGACCGTGGGGTGAAGAAGCGTGCACTTTTCGTGCACCGTTTGGGCCCGCGGTGGCAATTCAAGAGCTGCTCAATTAGGGCCACTTCCCTGCAATTCTCGATCCCCCCACGTTTATTGCCCTCCCGTTGCCGTCCGCCCGAAAGGAGCAGGAGGGCGACTGGAGGCCAGCGATGTCACAATGCAGGGTGCCCTGTCGATGTCACGATGCCGCGACGTCTGTGAAGAGCTAGGTACACGGCGAGGAGGGATGAGGAGCCTGAGCGTTTCCTGTGGCGCCTGCAACGACAAGCTACCCTTGTTCGAACGGGGGTGGGAAATGCGGTGGAGGGAGAATGGAGGGGAGGGAGAGGGAGAAGAAGAGGCAGGCGGGGGGTGGCGGGGGAGGGGGGAGGGATGGAAGGAGGAGGGAGTAGCAAGCAAGCAAGCAAGCAAGAACTCTGGGGAGTTGTCCAACGCGAGTCTCTACGAAAACTGAAAACGTGGCACCTAAGTGGCGGCAGTGCCAGTGCCACAGCTTCCCTCACCAGCGAGCGCTGCCAGTGGGGACACCACCTGTGGCCATCGACCCGCCCTGCGGCAGGAGGAGGATGAGTGAGAAGAGGAGATTGTGCTTTCTTGGGGTGGGGCTCGTCGCCACGGAAGGACTTCCATCGAGATCCTCGTCGGAGCGCGCCCCAGTAAGGGCCCTGGGGGGCGGAGGGGGCAGTACCCATAACTTTCTGCGTGAATCCGACGGGGCCACTCGCTGCACCGTGATGCCATCCCGCAAAAGGATCGGATCCGGTGCGCTCGGGATGCTCTTGCACGCCCCTGTGCAGAGTTGCGCGGTGCGGTCCTCCACCGCCGCACCACCTTGAACGGACCAGTCCACCTACCAAAATCGACAGCGACAACCACCTAGGGCTGTGCACGCGGGCACGTCCAAGGCTCGATGTTGCGCCGCGCAACGGCAAGACCTTGTCGTATGTTGCTCGAACGTCGCGTGAGCGTGGGTGTGCCCGAACCGGGATGAAACCGGCCGGTCTTGGCGGATGGGAGGATCTAGATGGCTGCGGTCGGTCGGCAGTTGTATGGGTGGAAGAGCGTGCCCCACAAATGTACCTCCCCCTCAGCCACTGTCGCCAGCATTGCTTGCTTGGCGCGAGGCATGGTCTGAGACTGTGCAGGGCTACATGGCGGGCAGCAAAAACCAACGGCGCTCCCTAGTGCCTGGATGCATGGGATAATAAGCTCCATTACTCCGTGAATCCAGTCTACGGGATACTAGGCTCCAGGCACACAATATACCGACACACATACGCATGCGTGCACAATCAAATGCACACATACACCCGCGCGCACACGCACACACGCACACACACGCACACACGCACACGCGCACGCGCACACGCACACACACACACACACACGCACACACACGCACACACACACACGCAAACACACGATTCTATGCACGCAGACACATATTTAGCCGCACGCATGAACATGCGCACACACACGCGCATGCACACACGACCACAAGCACAAACACGACTACAAACACACACAGACACGAACACACATAATCGAACACAACAACACACTCCGGCACACACTCACAAACACGAGTACAAACAGACACGTACGCACACGAAATGCAGAACACGAACGCGCTCACGAATACACGCGTATACTCACGAATGCACGCACAACCACGAACACACACACACACACACACACGAGCACACAGATCTACGAACGCACAACGAAATCAGGGGCATGTATCAGGCTTTTAAATCTGTTCTACAGGCGTATACAGCGCTACCCTCCCCTGAGGCCCAACAACAATCTACTGGGCGCGCGGTGTCTGTGTATTTGCTGTGGCGTATGGGTTGTTGTTGTTGTTGTTGCCTCCTTTGCCTCGCCTTCGCCACTCGGGAAGACGGGGGGTGCATGAAACTAACATTCACTGGCGGCCAGGCGGGCCTGCGATCGTAGATTTCCAACAGCTGCGGGCTGACGGATGGACGGACCGAAAGACAGATTGGGAACGGGCTCTGGGGCGCGTCAGCGCTGACCCGGGACGGCCAGGGCCGTGGCGCGAGCCCCGGCAGGGCCACGAAACAGTTCCCAGACCTGGGCTGGCGGTCAAGGCCACGAGCGCACAAGAAGGTGTCAAACCGACATTTACCGTATAGTCGGCGGGGAAGCGGAGGGTGGCCTGACCCCCCCCCATTTGTTACCACCTCTTGGGAAACAATTTGTAATTCCACCGGCTTCCGCGGCTTTTCCACCGGGGAAGAGATGCCGACTCCGTTGGTCTTCACAAGCGAAGCACTTTCTGGGACGCCTCACACGGCCAGCTAGAGGGGATTGGATGACCTCCATCACGGCTAGCCCCCGCTGCCTGCGCTCCGAGCAGACACAGAGGAGCAGTCGAGCCCGCGCCGCTCCTGCCGGCAGGGGGGGCTCCACCGAGAACTGCAGGCTCGTCCTCTCGCTGGCTTGGCAGTCTGTCGAGACATCCACCTGCGCAATGGGGCATCGATTTGTTTGTATAGAGTAGGCCAAGAGAGCAGAGCGCAAACACTCGACAAACGTCCCGATCGTCAGCGTGAAACGCGAAGAAATCGAATTCGGCTGCGTAATGTTCCAAGCGCACGCCACAATACGTGCATCGACCCCTGTTGGGCAGAGCCCCCAGCGTCGGGCAAAATACTTTCAGTGGGGACTGGATGCGAAGGAAACGCGCAAACAAAAACTACGCTGGCGAGAAGAATACGAATACTAAT